GGGGAATTGCAGATGCGTTGCCGGCCTTTTAAAAAGGAGTAGGCTCTTTTCTTGAAGGTCCCTAAGTCGTATCGGTCCGGAAAAATCCCTGGTGGTAAACTATTCCACAAGGAAGTTGTGCGAGGAAGAAAACATCTTCTAAATCGCACAGTGGTGGACCGCCAATCATCCAGATGGTGTGGATGGTATCGGGAGTTCTGCCGCGATGTGCGTTCGTGAAATTTGGCGGCTGGGATTAATCCGAACAATTCCTCAGAGCACTCCCCATGGTAGATGCGAAAGAAAATGCAAAGAGATGCAACATCTCTTCGCAGTGCCAATGAATCGAGCCGATCGGAAAGGGCTCGGTCGTCGACGATTCGAGCCGCTCTGCGCTGGATGCGGTCAAGTGGAAGGAGCTGGCACTGGGGAGCCCCTGCCCAGAGATGGGAACAGTATTCCATGTGAGGCCGAACCTGCGCCTTGTAAAGTTGCAGGCGGTGTGCCGGCATGAAATACTGTCCCGCTCTGCTGAGCACGCCAAGCTTTTTAGAGGCCAATTTGGCCTTCTCTTCCAAGTGACCACGAAACTGCACGTCATTCGATATGTCGACTCCGAGGATACCGATACTGGCTGAGGCAAGAAGGGGAGTGCCTTGAAACTGAGGAGATACGACAAAGGGGTTCTTTTTAGCGGTAAACGCGCAAACTTGTGTCTTCTGAGGATTAAACTGGACTAGATTTAGTCGCCCCCAATCCGAGACTTTGTCCAGCAAAGACTCGACTTCAGACACAAGTTTGTTCCGGTACTCGGCGACGTTTTCCCGAGAAATATTGGCCCGGCCGGTGTATAGAGCATCACCAGTGCTGTCATCCGCATAGCAATGAATGTTACCAGTTAGCAACATATCATTGATATGCAGAAGAAACAGCGTTGGTGATAGCACACAGCCTTGTGGAACACCAGCGTTAATAGGCTTGTAGTCAGAACATGCACCGTCTACAACGACCTTGATGCTCCGATCTGCAAGAAAGCTGGTGATCCAATTGCACAATTTCTCGGGAAGCCCATAGGAAGGCAGCTTCGAAAGAAGCGCTTTGTGCCAAACCCGATCAAAGGCCTTCGCAATGTCCAGACTAACGGCCAACGCCTCCCCCTTGGACTCTACTGCCTTCGCCCATCTATGGGTCAGGTAGACCAGAAGATCACCAGCTGATCGACCCCGACGAAAACCGTATTGGCGGTCACTAATCAGCTGGTGATGGTGTTGTCTCGATGTAATGACATACGGAATACTTAGGAGTCTCCTTATAAGACACAGGTTTAGTCAAATCCGGGTACTTAAGTAACATATCGTGCCATTCATTTTTACTATCTATGGTTCTAATAGACGACTCACCGTTACTATTGTACGCTACAATCGAAGCGAGAACATTTAGATGGTAACCTGATCTCTTAATTTCTGTGCGTGTAAATCTACCAACAGTTTATAATGGCTTAGAAAATCGGCGCCGATTATAGGCTGTTTAACGTCCGCTATAATAAAAGACCATCTAAATGCTCTCCTTAAATTAAAATTAAAAACTAGAGTATGCATACCATAGAATAGAATAGAATAGAATATTTTTTATTCAAATATACATTACATGTGTAATTCTTATTGAAAGTCATTTTTTACTTTACCACTGGTTCGAAAAAAACCCTCTGTCCTGGGAAGAACCAGCAAGAAACCCAGCGGGACTTTTTTTTTTAAATAAATTTTACAATATAAATGATTACGAACTATTTACAAAATTTATTTTAGAAACTGCTTGGAAGCGATCACCTCATTCCCAGGGGTTATTATCAACCATGTATTCATTTATACTATAATAACCCTTTTTATACAGTTTCAGCTTAATAAAACATTTAAACTTGGTAATAGAGAGAACCTGTACACTTTCCGGGACCTTGTTGTAATAGCGTATACATTGCCCCAAGAATGAATTACTGACTCTGTGGAGTCGAGAAACTGGTATCACTAGCTTGTGTTTGTTCCTAGTGTTTACAGAATGTATATCACTTCTTTTACTAAAACTATCTTTGTTTTTGTGAACATACATTAAATTTTCGTAAATATACTGAGAGGCCAAAGTTAATATATTAATTTCTTTAAATTTATCTCTAAGAGACTCTCTCGGTTTTAGATTGTAAATAGCTCTAATGGCCCTCTTCTGTAGGTTCTGATATCCGTTCCATTCGGCGCATATAACTTATAATTATCACTCGCGATAGGTAACGATGCACACTTTTTCACCACAGGAATCACAGATACGTTGGCACCCGTATCAATTAAAAACTTAAGTCCGGTATTTTTGTCGAAAACGCATAGGCGGTTATTATGCAAACCGATACATGCTTCCGGCCCTGCCTGTATCGTATCTAGTTTCCCTGTGCGGACAGCGTAGATGGCTTCCCTCCAGTCCAATTGCAAGGATCGACGCACTTCACGATGATGGTAAAAGCACAACCACTTCGGGTTCTTCCGGGACATACTGCCGCTGCGTTGCCACGATCCTGATCGCCCCGCCTCCCCCTTTTACTTGAGTTATTTGTGCCGGACGGGCGTAACTCTAATGGCGTAAAAATGTTGTCGAAGATACACCGCGAGCCGCTCACGTCCTACACCTATAGGTTCCGGAGGATACTTTCACTGCCGTCTCTGTATATGCTGTTGGAGAACTGTGGACTGAGGTTCAGAATTAAAAATGCACGATTTATAAATTAAAATAGCAAGGGAGTGGCCAGCGGTTCGACTGATTAATTAGTCGCGAAATTTTATAACTATTTATTTATTGAACACAGTTGTTCAACTATGGTTGTTCACTATTGGTTGTTCACTATATATTTCAAAACAGATTTAATTAAAATACGCGGTAATATTCAAATTTCTATTGGTTTTAAAATTTCTATTCGTATTTTCAAAATATCTATTGGTAATATCAAATATCTATTGGCAGTAACAAATTTCTATTGGTATTTTCAAATATATCTATTGGTGATTTCGAATATCTATTGGAAGTAACAAATTTCCATTGGTAGTATCAAAAATATCTATTGGTAGTAGCTGGTTTTCTAACACTACTGACTAGCAGCTATTAATCAACTAAAATTAGTTGAATTTAACACTTTTTGTAACTGCGAATATCAGTTACCACTTTTTCCGTCTAGCTAACACTTTTCACTATATGTAACGGCGAAATTTCCGTTACCACTTTTTTCGGCTAGCTAACACTTTTTCACTATATGCAACTGAGAATTTTCAGTTGCCACTTTTTTCGACTATGTGTAACTGCGATTTTCAGTTACGACCTTTTTCGGCTAGCTAAACTTTTTCAATTTCACTATAACTTTTCACTGTGTACTATACTACTGCTTGTTACTGGTAGTTCTTCCTACTACGTTACTGTGATTTGCCCCCATAAGGTAGACTTCGGCTATACTCTATAGAGAGCCGCTTGCCATTTTCCGGTTTTGCCTCTTTATTTTTAAACATTTTCATTATGTAATTAGCACAAATCGCAATATTTTCTATATAATGCTAATTTTTACACTAACACGCTATACACTATTAAATAGGCATTTTGGTCCTTTATCGGTGTGTGATAAAGGTTACTCAATATATTTACATTTAAAAATGTTATTAATCAAAATGTACCAAATTTTCATAACAAATGTGCACATTAAATCTTTAATTTTACTATATTTATGAAGTGCGTTTATTTACACAAATTATTTCTTTACTATTGCAACCTATACACCATATGCTAACCAAATATCATATTTACAATTCTTTCAGAACACAAAAATATTCTTATTATTTTCATATAAACTATTGCGCAGTTAATTAACTTCTAGAAAGTTCCACGATATGCTGCGCTGTGATTGGTCTAAATTTTATTAAATGATTAAAGTTGTTTATATCAACTATTATTAAAAACAACATTCTATATATGTATATTAAGAGTTGTAAACTCATTGTAAAACCATATTAATACAGAATTCGCTCGACTTTGTTATTAATTTCACTTTTTAAACAATTTAATATTCTTTCATCACTTTTTGCTTAAAGTCTTTAAACCGTCGCGAACATCTCTCCCGCCGTGCAGCGTCGCAAAGATCTCATCGTAGTGGCGCTGCATCCATTTCGGTGAGCGACGTTGCTTCTACTTCGGCAGCGGCACGAGTTTCCTGGTTGGCCTCTTGATTAGGCCGTTTATGGTGCGTACCTCCACAGTGCGGATCTGTCCGTCCGCACCGGGGTACACAGTTTCAATCCTTCCTCGTGGCCAGATGTTACGAGGTAACTGGCCGTCAGCAATGAGGACTGGATCGCCCACCTGGAGATCGGGGCCTCGACCATGGGCCTCCCGCCGGTTTTGAAGTCCTGGTAGATATTCTCTGACCCAACGCTGCCAGAACATATCAGCGAGTATCTGGGAGCGTCGCCAGTGCTATTTGCTATCTATATCCTTTTCATTAAATACTCCAGGTGTCGGCAGTCTCGCAGATCCTCCCAAGAGGAAGTGGTTCGGAGTGATGGATTCGTTGTTGTTGCTGTCTACAGAGATGTGAGTTAATGGTCTACTATTTACTGTATACTCCACCTCGCAGAGCAGCGTGGCTAAGACTTCTTCATGTGGATGTCTTTCGTGAAGGACGGTGTATAGTGCCGTCTTCACGCATCGTACGAGACGTTCCCATACCCCTCCCATGAAAGGCGCGGAGGGGGTTATAAAACGCCACACTATGCCTCGTGGGCTGGCTTCTTCTTTAAAAGCCTCCCGAAGTTCCTTATCTGCGCCGTGCATGTTGGTGCCGTTATCTGAATGAATTTCGGTGGGGCACCCTCGGCGCGCTGCAAATCTTCTCAAAGCTAATATTGCGGAGTCTGCGCTGAGATTTGCAACAATTTCTAAATGGACAGCTCTAGATGTGAGGCAGGTGAAGAGAGCCACGTATCTTTTCTGATGTTGCCGTCCTACTGTGACGGAGAGTGGCCCAAAATAGTCCAGACCGATGAAAGTAAACGGTCTCTGGTGATGAGCGAGACGTGTGCTGGGGTGATCACCGGTGGCTGGCACAGATGGTTGCATTTGCTCACTATTCGTTTCGTTGTGGGTCTAAGTCTTATAACCCAGTAATGTTGTCGAACCTCGTTAATTGTAGGTTCGGTTCCGCAATGATGTAGGCTACGATGCGTCCAGTCTATGTACAATTGGGTGATGTAATAATCACCATCCAATATAGCCGGACCTTTCATATCTTTTGAGACTCCCTTCGCGGCGGCTATGCGACTTCGCAGCGCGATGATCCCGTCTTTTAATTCTATCTGGAGCGGTCTTAGGCGGCTATCATGGGCGACCCTTTTATCGTTACGGAGATCGGCTATTTCTTGTCTGAAGGAGTCCCCTTGTATGACACGTATTAGGAGCCTTTCGGCCTCTCTGATGAATTCGGCCTCGAGTGTGATGTGCCTTTTGATATCTGCGGTTTTTGTTAGACTGGAGGACTGTGTGCGGTGTTGCGGATTATTTTTCGATCTCCTCCAGTCGGGTTCTTTTTCTTCATTCCTTCTAGTCCTTTTGTAGAAGGTCCTGTCTGTTGTTTTACGGCAGAGTGTAATAAACTGAAGCACTCTGGCCGTCGCTCGCAATAAGCGTTCCCATTTCGAAAACTTTGCTGGATTTGGGATGGCTTCTCTTATTACCAGAGCTCTATTTGATTCTGTAATGGTGAGGCATTTTTCCTCACCGGTGGGTTCGGATGACGTGGGTCTTTCGGTCGGCCATGCTGACGGTTCTTTGTAAAGAAACGATGGGCCGTTGTACCACTCGTGGTTCGAGTCGAAGTTAGGTGGTACGTCCCTCGTAGCGGTGTCAGCTATGTTCAATTTGGTAGGTACCCAGCGCCAGTCATCTACTTTACAATTGTCCTCGATTGCTGCTATTCTGTGCGCAAAAAAAGGTTTATAGGTTCTAGACCCCTTCTGTATCCATGTAAGGACAGTCTTGCTGTCAGTCCAATATGTGACAGCTTCGGGCTTTACGCGATGCTCCTGGATTACGGCGGCAGCTACGCGATTTCCCATCACGGCGGCTTGTAACTCAAGGCGAGGTATGGATGTTACTCTGAGTGGGGCTACCTTCGCCTTGGCCATGACGAGGCTCACGTGTACCTTCCCATCAGGTGTCATTGCCCTCCAGTAGACTGCCGTTGCGTAGGCGCTCTCACTGGCATCGGTAAACACGTGGACTTGTAGTGAACGTGCGTCGCTGAATCCCGGGTAGCATCTTGGGATGCTTACTGATTTAAGTCGTTCCAGGTGTTGGATCCACGCGGACCACTGTTCAGTCAGGTCTTCGTCCAACTCCTGGTCCCAGTCTGTTCCTCGTCTCCATGCTTCCTGCAGTATTTGCTTTGCTCGAATTGTAACTGGGGAGGCGAGGCCGAGCGGGTCATACAGCGACATCACTATTTTGAGTGCTTCCCTTTTGGTTGGTATTTTATGGAGCACATCGATCGGAAGTCGAGCGAGCTTTAGATTGAAGCTCAGCTGATCGGTACTCGGTTTACAGATTAGTCCGAGTATTTGCTCTTCGGTTCCCTTGTTGCTTAGGTCGACTGAGTCAGTCGCCTCGTGGTCAAGTTCTAATTCTCTTACAATTTCTGGCGCGTTGGAAACCCATTTTCTTAAGGTGAAGTGCGCGTTTTTGTGTATATCACGTACTTCCTTTGATATTCTCATTGCATCTTCTACTGACTGGAAACTGTCGAGATAGTCATCCATATAATGATTTTGGATGATAGCTTCTACGGCTTCTGGGTATATTTCAACATATTTTTTAGCATTCCAGTTCTTTGCGAATATGGCTGTGCAGGGTGAACTAGCCGCACCGAAAATAATCGACGTCATTCTGTATTCTTGCGGTGCCTCATCACGTCGATTCCCTCTCCAGAGATATCTTAAGGCATCTCTGTCTTCGGGTCTAACTTTGACCTGCATAAACATTTCGGCTATATCCGCCGAGACAGCGACATTATGGCGGCGAAAACGCATCATGACCCCTGGTAGCGACTGCAGTAGGTCTGGACCCGTGAGCAGGAAGTCGTTCAATGCCACCCCCTTTGTTTTGGCTGCGTCATCATGCACTATTCGGAACTTTTCTGGCTTCATCGGGTTGTGAACGTCAAAATGGGGTAGGTACCATGTCCTTCCTGGTGTATTAGTTCTCGGTGCTATCTCGGCGTATCCCTTTTGTACTAGGGAGTTCATGTGTTCATTATATTTCTGTTTTAGATTTTCGTCTCGATCTAATTTCTTCTCGATTGAAACGAGCCTTTTTATAGCTGTTTCATAATTGCCAGGCATTTCGGCATCTTTCTTTTTCCAGAGAAGCGCTGTCTCTATGTGCCCGTCTTCCAACTGACGGGTGCTGTTATTTAGTATGTCTTCAGCTTTCTTCTCTGGATCGGAGTCTGGTCTTCTCGGATTGATTACGAGAGATTCCAGCGCGAAATATTCGCGGACTTGATCATTTATGGACTCCTCGCTCGTGTGCAGCTCATTGGCCGCGTGGACGCGCTGATACGGGGCTTTAGTGTGTGCCCCGTGTAGCACCCATCCTAATTCTGTGAGCGAGGCGATTGGTTGATGCGGCGGACCTCTGCGAATTTGAGTAGCTATCAGGAGTCTCCAATTATCTTGTCCTATTAAGATCTTTGGGTTGCCGGAGTCATATATTAGTTGCTCCTTCAGGTCTTTTAAATGTCTACAATTTTCTATATCTGCTGCACACACAGTCTGTGGCCCCAAGTTTAGGCTGGCGACCGTGCGTGCTCTGAATTGTACCCTTTTCCTATGGAGACTCTTGAGCGAAACTTTGACTCTTCGGGAGTTCGGCGAATCGAGGGTATTGTTCCCGATGGCGGTGATCTTAAAGGGGTCCAACCGCCCTGTTGCTCCAATTTGTTTGGCAATTTTCTCATCCATTAATGAGACTGTTGACCCATCATCCAGCAGGGCGTGTGTATTTACAGATCCCGCCGGTCCAATTACTCGAACTGGGATTATTTTTAGATAGGCGTGATGTTTTGACACAGCGAATGAATTTGCAACTGTTTCCTGAGGTTCTCTTTGTGTGACCTCTGTCTTCTCCTTTTTATTGTGGTGGAGAAGTCTATTATGTGTCGCGGTGCATCCTTTTATGCCACACTTATTGATTTTACATTTGTGTGTTTGACTTCTGTATCGTAAGCAGCGGAAACATAAATTGCTTTGTTTTGCAATTTCCCATTTTTTATCGACATCTGCTTCTTTAAATTTTTTTGCAGTCGGATCCGTAATGACCCTCTTTTTGGCACACACTGCATTTCGGAGACGGCTTAGTGGTAGCCGACTGCGTTCTGTGTATTGAACGACTGTTCTGCGCTCCGTTTATAATTTCGGGGGGCGCAAATGCACTGCAGAAGCGAGCTTGTTCGGTGATAAACTCGCTGAAGGAACCGAGGTCTGGTCTAGAGTCGTATTTTTCGGTGTAAGCTTTATACCACTGTGCGCGTATAGAATTTGGCAATTTGTCTGTGAGGTGTCGTAGCAGCTCCGCGTTGATGAGGTAATGGTCTCGTTTGAGTGCCCGAAGAGTGACAACACTTCCCCTCACTTTGCTCGCGAATGTGCAGATATCTCTAGGCGCTTCTCTACAGCGTGGCAATCCTCGTAACTTCTCGGTTTCAGCTTGTGCAATTGAGTCTGGACGCCCAAATTGTAGCTCCAGTTCTCGCATGATCTCATCCGCTTTAGCATGTCCGATGTGTTCTGAACTAACTGTTTCCAAGGCTCTTCCTTGTAGACTTCTTCGTAGTCTTGCAGTATTTTCGATATCATTGAAGTAGCCTCGGGTTGTTTCGTAAATGGCACGGAACGATAGCCATTCGGTATGTGCTCCGCTAAAGCTCGGCAGTGTCATTATAGCTTTCGACGCTGCGAAAGTATGCGACGATGCACTCTCTGGTTTTGGTTTGTCAGCGAGTGCGGCTATAGCGGATGTGAGCTCCGATATAAATGGTCGGAGCCCTCTGTCTTCATTTATGACAGATGCCTGGTTAGGCTTCGTTGGCAGGGGATTCTTCGTTACATCTGCCGGATAGGGATCCTGGTAGGTGAGCTCTGATACAGCTGGTAGGAGCTCCCTGTCTTCATCAACCTTCGAGTCCTGGCTAATTTTTAGTGGCACAGGATTCTTGGTTACATCTTCCGGATCGTGATCCTGGTAGGTGGGCTCTGATACGATTGGTAGGAGCCCCCTGTCTTCATCAACCTTCGAACCATGGTTTGTGAGCTTCTTTTGCGGCTCACTGAGGTCGACAACCTCCGGGGGTGGCCTTGTGACGGTTTTGTTTAGTGGGGCCTCCCCTCCGGTGGCGACGCCTTGAGTTGGCTTTTGCTTGGCTACGGAATTTTCGAGCCAAGATCGGACGTACTCGATTTTGGAGTGACCATTTTCATCATAGTCGTCCGAATCATCTTCTTCCTCAGCCATTTGTAAGGAAATTTGTACGATTTCCAATTTAACTCTCAGCACTTCTTCACAAGTCTTCAAAACTTTTTTATTGGGCCGAATAGTCCTCTTTGACTTTGTACTTTTGTCTCGGTGGCCCCTCGGTGGCTCTTCGGTGCGGGAGTCTTCCCGGACTGTTGGCGGTGATGCACATCGAATGTCATCGTTGTCCTCTATTTGTTTCATCTGCTTCGGTGTACCGGTTGTAGTGGCCGGCACGGGCAGGAGTACCCCCCCATTGCGGGGGCAAGGTGGCGCCTCAGCGCCCTCTGTGGTTGATGGTGAGCGTGGTGGCATCTGGTGGCGGACGGCGTCGGTATTGTCCGACGGGCCTCCTTCTAGACCGACGGTCCACGCCATGGCTCCCCTTCCTTGCGAACGAGTGATCGGCATCTTGATTCTGAAAATTCTGCTGACTTTAATACGGTAGTGAATATGTATCCGGTTCCGAAAAACAAACGGATGAGAGATCCGGCTCGAAGGACCAGCGAATGCTGGACTCGGCTCGGAGTATAAACGGAAGTATCCGGCTCGAAGGACCAGCGAATGTGCCGGACGGGCGTAACTCTCCGGAGTAAATGTTGTCGAAGATACTCCGCGAGCCGCTCACGTCCTACACCTATAGGTTCCGGAGGATACTTTCACTGCCGTCTCTGTGTATGCTGTTGGAGAACTGTGGACTGAGGTTCAGAATTAAAAATGCACGATTTATAAATTAATATAGCAAGGGAGTGGCCAGCGGTTCGACTGATTAATTAGTCGCGAAATTTTATAACTATTTATTTATTGAACACAGTTGTTCAACTTTGGTTGTTCACTATATATTTCAAAACAGATTTAATTAAAATACGCGGTAATATTCAAATTTCTATTGGTTTTAAAATTTCTATTCGTATTTTCAAAATATCTATTGGTAATATCGAATATCTATTGGCAGTAACAAATTTCTATTGGTATTTTCAAATATATCTATTGGTGATTTCGAATATCTATTGGAAGTAACAAATTTCCATTGGTAGTATCAAAAATATCTATTGGTAGTAGCTGGTTTTCTAACACTACTGACTAGCAGCTATTAATCAACTAAAATTAGTTGAATTTAACACTTTTTGTAACTGCGAATATCAGTTACCACTTTTTCCGTCTAGCTAACACTTTTCACTATATGTAACGGCGAAATTTCCGTTACCACTTTTTTCGGCTAGCTAACACTTTTTCACTATATGTAACTGCGAATTTTCAGTTACCACTTTTTTTAGCTAGCTAACACTATTTTACTATATGCAACTGATAATTTTCAGTTGCCACTTTTTTCGACTATGTGTAACTGCCATTTTCAGTTACGACCTTTTTCGGCTAGCTAAACTTTTTCTATTTCACTATAACTTTTCACTGTGTTCTGCTACTAGTCACTTCAGCTACTACCGGATACTACTGCTTGTTACTGGTAGTTCTTCCTACTACAACGTTACTGTGATTTGCCCCCATAAGGTAGACTTCGGCTATACTCTATAGAGAGCCGCTTGCCATTTTCCGGTTTTGCCTCTTTATTTTTAAACATTTTCATTATGTAATTAGCACAAATCGCAATATTTTCTATATAAGGCTAATTTTTACACTAACACGCTATACACTATTAAATAGGCATTTTGGTCCTTTATCGGTGTGTGATAAAGGTTACTCAATATATTTACATTTAAAAAAGTTATTAATCAAAATGTACCAAATTTTCATAACAAATGTGCACATTAAATCTTTAATTTTACTATATTTATGAAGTGCGTTTATTTACACAAATTATCTCTTTACTATTGCAACCTATACACCATATGCTAACTAAATATCATATTTACAATTCTTTCAGAACACAAAAATATTCTTATTATTTTTATATAAACTATTGCGCAGTTAATTAACTTCTAGAAAGTTCTACGATATGCTGCGCTGTGATTGGTCTAAATTTTATTTAATGATTAAAGTTGTTTATATCAACTATTATTAAAAACGACATTCTATATATGTATATTAAGAGTTGTAAACTCATTGTAAAACCATATTAATACACAATTCGCTCGATTTTGTTATTAATTTCACTTTTTAAACAATTTAATATTCTTTCATCACTTTTTGCTTAAAGTCTTTAAACCGTCGCGAACATTATTGTTGCGTTGATTCGACCTCGACTGACGTAGTTCTGCTATTTCGATCTGCAGTTTTTCCACAATGTCCTCTAAATCGCTGAGCTTGCTGGATGTAACGCTGCTGACTTTGGCAATTTCCGCCGGCCTGGTCGCTTCCATCACCTTATCCGCCAGAGTCGCCAGGCTTTCCAGGTCCTTTACCTCGGTGACAGCTAGAACAGCTTGAACGGCCGTGGGTAAATGTCTGATCCACATAATATGGAGTGTAGCGTCTGGCATTTTATTCCTCGCGAGGTCTCGCATCCAACGTAAGAGCTGCGATGTCTTTTGAGTGCTGAGCTCCATCTCCCTCAGTAGTTTCTGAAACTGTCTGATCTCCGACTCCTCAAACACCTGCAGAAGCCGATCCTTCAACGTCTGATACCTCCTTTCGGATGGCGGCGACAGCAGTAGATCACTTACCTGCTGTATAGTGCTCTTGCTTAATTTGGTTACAACCAGGTTTTGCTTGGCCGCATCCTCGCTTTTCTGGTTTTCTATTACGGCCTCGAACTGAACGAAGCAGAGTCGCGGTTGGGCCGCCCGGAAGTCGGGTATTCTAGACGAAACGCTGATACTCGCCAGCGCCACGGCGCCATCTGCGCGGGTATCCGTCGACGCCTGCTCGCCCTGGGCGGGCGGTGGTACCGGCGCGGGTGGGATAGGCGCTGTAGGAACTGGCGCAGGTCCGGGTTGTGGATACATATTTTACCGACACTATTTCACAAACGGTTCTTCACGGGGTCACCAGTGTACCATCTTATGAATACTGTGTTTAATTAATTAATTAATTTATTCATTGCTAAGTTCCTAAGGTGTACAATTAAGGTTGCAATAAATGAAGACACGTGTCGTGTAAACGGGGATATATTTGCGACTATTTTTTAACGTGGCGGACGCAGCCGCCACACCTATAACTATTATACATATTACACGTACACATAGCTGTTATACTTAAATAAATATGGATATGATGTAGGACACTGGACACGCGATCTACAGGGCCAGTATATTATATATACCTATATTGTGTCCCTAGATTAAATTTCAAATAAATAATATTTGTAAATTTTAACTTTCTAGAAGTTAATTAACTGCGCAATAGTTTATATGAAAATAATAAAAATATTTTTGTGTTCTGAAAGAATTGTAAATATGATATTTTTTAGCATATGGTGTATAGGTTGCAATAGTAAAGAGATAATTTGTGTAAATAAACGCACTTCTTAAATAAACGTTAGTGTAAAAATTTG